GGCTGCCCCATCCCTGGGGGTGTTGAAGGGCAGGTTGGATGGGGCTTGGAGCAACCTGGGCTGGTGGGAGGTGTCCCTGCCCATGCAGGGGATTGGATCTAGATGATCTTGAAGGTCCCTTCCAACCCAAACCAATCTATGGCTACGATCTCAGCTTGCATTGCTCTCAAACTGAACTAAATGGCCCACAAATCATTCAAGTAACCATATGAGGGCACACTCTTAAAATCCACACTTTTCTGGTTTTACTTCTCACTTTTGGTTTATGCAAGTACGTGCAGGAAATAACTCTGCAGGTTTTAGCTGTTCCTACTTCTCACAGGCAGTTAACAGAAATTTAAGTGAACATGTAAAAATCTTTTCCACAGTGTTTACTGTAAAACACACATTTAAAAAACAATATTAATACTCATGTCAGTAAAACTCAGAACATCCTGTTCTTACTAACATCAGATTTTTAATGCATTTGCTGACACCTGAATTGGTCTCTTGCATCCTCCTAAGCAGAGCAGACCAGACCAAAGGAGAGGTACAGGCATCCCTGCACATGCTTGTGTTTCTTCCCAACTCAAGAAAGTTGCAACTCAGAGCAACTAATAAATAAAAATCATTCTATGATTCTATGAAAACAATTTGTTTGTATTGGAAAGTAACAGACACTCAGTTCAGAGACTAAAATGTTATCCTCATAATTTTTCCTTACCTTTTTTAACTGAAAAGCACTTTCCAGCACACAATTTTCTGCAGAACTAATCAAAACCACCTAAATATTGGCCAGAATATTGTATCACTCAAAAAAAGAATAAAAATAGCAGAATTTATTTCTCTTTACCAGGGTATACTAATGTTTCCCCAAGAAACACTTCAGTCCTCTCTGTCCTCATGGATTTTCCTCCTCCTCCTTCTTCCCTCTCCCTGCTGTGTTTTCTTATCCTTGGAATGCCTTCTCTGATTTCAGATCCACCTTTTTTGGGGAGCAGCTTTCCAAAAGCTTCTTCTAACTGTCCTGTGTTTGACCTGGTATCTTGTGTTTCATGTTTATCCTTTGAAAACAGTCTAAGTACCTCTTGGAACTCAGAGTTCAACCGAGAAATCACAGAATTACTGGGAAAAGCCCTCCAAGATCAAGTCCAGCCTATGACCTGACACCACCACATCTCCAGACCATGACACTAAGTGTCTCATCCAGTCTTTCCTTTAACAGCTCCAGGGATGGTGCCTCCACCACTTCCCTGGGCAGTCCATTCCAATGTCTGATCACCCCTTCCATGAGGAAGTGCTTCCTGATAGCCAACCTGGAGCAGCTTCAGGCCTGGCCCTCTTGTCCTGTCACTGGGTGCCTGGGAGCCTAGGAGCCCAACCTCATCTGACTCCAACCTCCCTTCAGGTGATTGCAGAGATTGAGAAGGTCCCTCTTGAGTTTCTTCTCCAGACTAAACAACCCCAGCTCCCTCAGCCTCTTCCTGTAAGACTTTCCCTCTAGTCCCTTCACCAGCCTCGCTGCTCTCCTCTGGACCTGCTCAAGCTCCTTCTTGAATAAAGGTGCTCTGCACCTCAAGCTCCTTCTTGAATAAAGGGGTCCAGAGCTGGAGACAGGACTCGAGGTGAGGCCTCCCCAGTGTCCAGTACAGGACAATCCCACCAGATTTCTAGTTTTATCACCATCTCAACAACTAGAAACAAGTCTAGAGTCTCACCTGCACCCAAAAGTTGTTTGTAACAATGTAGTGATGCCCACGCAGAAGAAGATGGTCCCAATCAACTGGCTGGTAGCCCACTGGTCAAATCCAACACACATGGCATCAGCCAGCAAAAAGGGCACTGCTATAGTTCCACTGAAACACGTTAAGTAATGCTGTAAAGACAAAAACGTCTGTTAATCCTGCAGCCAGTGTTGAGAAGGAAATACATTCATACCCATCTTTTCTCTTGCATTGGGGATTTTTGCTTTGGAATAATCTAAAGTTGACAGTTCCTGGTCCTAACATTTCTTCAAGTATTTTCCCTGCAAGTTCAGCCACTACCAGCCTGTTGCTCCTGCTTGCTATTTCTGTAGGATAAACTAGGTTATTGACACAGCTACATGGTTACTGATGAGGAGGTATCTAGGTAACTGTGCTGCAAACAGCTCAGCAAAGCAGATAAATAACTCCATTCACTTGCAACCACCTGAAAAACCATGAGCTTACAAATAAACTTAAGAGCACACACAAGCCAGGCTGCAAATGAGCTCACAAGTACCAGAAACCGGGTACTCGTTCATTCTTATTCAATTCAAACACATTTAAACAAACAAACAGGAGTAACCATATTCAACAATGCAAGTGAAAACATCATCCCTAGGGAACTGCCTGTCCTTGAGAAAGGCAGAAGTAAAAAGGATGCTTTGGAATGTGTTTGTTTGGAGATCTCAACATACTTTACAGATACTAACAAATTCTCAGCATTCCTGTGGGACAGATATTACTACCATTCAAGAAAGAAAGGAGATGAAATGAGCTCTGCCTCACACAAGGGGGTGGCTGAGCTGGTAATAGGGTCCAGCTCTCCACCACAGTCCTGCCCACTGCAGGAAGCACATACTCTAACTCCAAAGAGTGAAGAACTTCCCTGCCCTGCTTCTTAGTGAGCCTACAGGGCCAGGATGATGCCATCAAGCTTGCAGAATTGAAATTACTACAGTAACAGCTTTAACAGTCAAGATTTCAGGACTAAACCCTTCTTTCTCTCTCCATTTCTAATTCCAGAGGTGCCACATATAACTTTCTGACAATTAACGCTTAACATTTGCTCACTTATTTACTAACTGCCTCTTGGGAGTGAAGCTCACAAATGCATAAGCCAGAAAACATGAATATAGATCATTATCAGCACAGTGATCTCTCTGACCAACTTCAGAAGAAACTATCCTAGCACTTTCTTCTGTGAGAGCCTGGGAAGACTAAAATAATCACATACGCAAATGCAATGGACTGCACCTAAAATGCTGCAGTCTTGTGAAAAGTTACAGAGACAAACAAATTATAGCTGGTTGGAAACACACCTGTAAGCCCAAAAAGATGCAGAGATACCAAGGAGGAACATCTTCGATAGTGTAAATCATGTCAGTTCTTTGGGCATCCAAACTGCCACTGCTGTCCAGTGTCTCTGCCAAGGAGCTCTGTGCCAACAGGGAAAAGAGGTGGAGAGGATAAAAAAAAGTGTGAGAGGATACAAAAGACAACACTGGGTTACTATTATACATGAATAAATGGAATGTGTATTATCAGGCAATTCCCAGATACTCCAATACTGGTTTAATTCTCCCAGGCAATGCTGAGTGGTTCCATTTTTAAAGCCTTTTACCTCTGACAACGAGCTCATCTCCAGCTGGAGCTACTGAATTTGTACCCTACACAGTCACTTCTTAGTCCTTCTTCACACATTCCCTGTTTGTTTATACCAGTACAACAATTGTTCGTTTATGATGTAACTGATCAGGCAGCCAAAAGGTGCCCAAAAACAGGATTATCATGATAGGGCTGTTTATTTAAAGGGAAAAAAAAGAAAATAAGAATTGGCACTAAGCAGAAGAGTCAACAAGAGCTATTTCAAAGCAGAATGGTTATCCTTTCATAAGAGAGCAAAATCACAGGCAAGAAAGTTCCTCCTTATCATAACTGCTTCCCCACTTCAATCTTACTCAATTTGAGTCCTGGTTTGTTGTTTTTGCTTCCACCCCAAGTTCAAACAGTCAACAAAAATGCTCAGCATTGTAACTGAATGCATCCACAGCCAACTTATGTTACTCAACCAGACTCCTTCCAAACCTATAGGAATTTAGCTAGACCATGTTCTGGCCTAGCATGTGCCCTCGTGTGCAGAGAGCCAAGGGACAAGCAACCACACATGAATCCACATCAAAACCCCTGCAGCTTTATCATTAAAACAAGATTCAGCTCAATCATTTCCTCTTTACAACTTGGTGGAATCGGTTGGTTTGGACTCTCTGGTTTTGAAACCCCTGAGAACAAAAACCTCAAGGCTCCAAAGCCAAAACACTAAACAACAAAAGCAGGAGGAAGTAGCAGGTTTTATCATTTCAGCTCAACTATCCAAAAAAATACCTTATATAACAACTGTTCTGACCTAATCCACATAACAAGCTCACGTGAAGTAGCCTTACAAAAAGACCAGGAACTTTGCCAGACTCGTGACTTTGCCTCAAATGGTCTTTACTTCTTCAAAACAACATATCCAGAGATGATGCTTAGATCATCTCCACTTGGTTCATCATCTACAAGGTCAGAGAAGCCCAACTGACCTCATGGTACTTTCCTCTTATCTCAGATTTCTGTTGGGGAAACAAATGCCATTGAATTAATCCAAATCCAAGGAGTGTAAATGACCCCAATGCTATGGGAAGGTCAAGTTATTCCAATGGAAAAGCAAAACACAGGAACACTCGTTTCAGAACGCTCTTTCAAACCACATTTAGCATCAGGCAATCTGCTCACCAGGGTTAGGCTAAGTAAGATACACATCATAAGCAGATGAGTAAGGGAAATTGTCCACTGCACAAACCAATCTTGCCAATTTGCAGCACCAATGTCATGTTTTCATTGCCTGAAAAATAAGACCTGATTCTTTCCCAACCTGATTCTCTAAAAAATGCTAAATGAACAACAACAACAAAAAAAAATCAGGAACCTGAGTTTTAGAGCTTCACCTCACACTGGAGGGAGAGCACTGAGCAGCAGTAAACCTGTACACCTCTGGTCTCTACCTGAAACTTAGGGGAAGAACCAGGCACATCCTCCTGTCAATGCAATTCTGTGTGATAAAAGCAGGGCACAGGGCAGCTGACCCAGAGACAGGCAGGAGAAGTCTCAACAGCCAATCTAGTTGTGGGCAAACAGCAGGAGAGGTTTACACTGGATATTAGAAAGAATTTCTTAACCCAAAGAGTGGTTGGACAGCAGAATAGGCTGCCCATGGAGGTGGTAGAGTCACCATCCCTAGAAGTGTTTCAAAGAAATTCAGATACAGTACTTAGCCACTTGATTTAAGCACTGAACAGATAAATCAGGTTATAGCAGGATTTAGGTTATGGTTGGACTTGGATCATCTTCAAGGTCCCTTCCAACCAGGATGATTCTGTGATTCTATGATCTGTCATCACTACAGGCTCCTTCCAAGAACTCTCTCAGGAAAACAAAGATTCACCCAGAGAAGCTCCTGTGACATTTTCTGTTGTTATAAAGCAGGTTTTTTAACCTTCTCCCAGAGACTACCCACATGTATATAATACATACATGTTTGCATGATTGCCTCACCTCTCTATTTCACTGCATCACACTCTCCACCTGAGAACTTTGCTCACCAGTGAAACTGCCTGTCTATTAAACACTTTGACTAAGAGGTCATCACACGCTTCCAGAGAAGCAGAGGTCATGAAGGAAGAGTCAGAACGGTTACAACATCTGCTGGTAGGGTAGGCACTGAGAGGTATCAGTAGAAATTAACTGTTTGCTTCATGAATCACATAAATGTTGGCTTGCTGAGGACACCCAATAGCAGCAGGGATTGAGGAGAACAAACTGTGGGTAGTTCCCCACCTGACTGCAGCATGGAGAGATAAATCACCCTGCACGGAGCAACCTGCCTTACTCCTCCCAAGGATGGACAGAAATGGGATTTTCCAAGTCTCCATGCAGGATACCAGGCTCTCTAAAAATTCAGTGAGTGATTTGTGCAGATTGGTGGCTCTGTTTTGGCCCCTGCCTTTTAAAAACCCATCTTTCTGCCTCTTTTTCACCTTTTCTAACTTTGCCAGACCAATACCCAGTAGCTACCTAAATATTCCACTAGTGCTGAGCACTGATTTTTCTTCATAGGAATGATGAGGCTGCATATGAAGTACATCCTTTAACTTTTACACCTGTCAATCTGTAATATCACAAACAATATTCATTACACCCCCATCTTCTTTGGGCACCAAAAAGCAGAAGCAATGACCTGTTTCCACTAGGAAGTAAGTTACTGGTTCCTTCAGAGCTTTTCATTTGTTACATTTATGTGCACAGAACAAAAAGATGAGCCCAGGAACAAGTCAACTGATCCATGGCACACAGAAAGCTCTCTTTGGGCACAGAATGACAGTTGCTAACCAATTTAAGGTCTCTTTTTGAAAGTGAAGTTTATAGGTCTTCAAACAGAAGAATTTCTAATTTTAAGGTTTAATTATAGCAGCCTTCCAACACCTAAAGGGGGCCTACAGGAGAGATGGGGAGGGACTTTTCATCAGAGAGGGCAGGGATAGGACAAGGGGTAATGGTTTTAAACTGAAAGAGTGGAGATTTAGGTTAAACATCAGGAAGAAATTCTTCACCATGAGGGCAGGAAGGCACTGGAACAGGTTGCCCAGGGAGGTCACGAATGTCCCCTCCCTGGAGGTCTCAAGGCCAGGTTGGATAAGGCTTGTGCAGCCTGGTCTGGTGGGAGGTGTCCCTGCTCAGAGCAGGAGGGTAGAACCTGATGATCTTTAAGATCCTTTTCAAACATTCCATGACCCTGTAATTGCCAGAACAATGTCTGTCCTACATGGCAAAGTGGTAACCAGGACATTCCTCATTCCTTCCAAAACCCAGACTCATTCTGCTTTGAAAGAGGAAACTTTCACCTTCACCAGACATTGAGCAGATAATGGCTGAAGGGAAGAGATGTAAAAGAGGCCAAGAGTGAACAATCAGGAATTTGAGAACCAGGGTGCAGTCTGGCTATCCTGCTGTTAAGTCACTAGGTAGTCACTAGCTCTTTCTTATCTCAAGCATGTGCCTGCTGGTTCCATGCACTGCCTGTGTGCTGCTGCTTGCTAGGTATGCCCAAGGGAACTGCCAGAAATGAACTGCACCTTTTTGTGCCAGATCCTGATCAGGTTAACTCTTTCTCTTTTTATTTTTAATTGGCCAAAAGTGGGACAAAACAAAAATTGAAAAAAAAAAAAGAAAAAGAAAAAATAAAAAACCAAAACAAACAAAAAACCCAACAAAACCAAACAAACAAAAAAAACCCACAACACAGAATTCCATATAAATGGGGAAAAAATGAGACAAGAGATCAAAATGGAGGAAAGAGGTAGAGGGGAAAAAACCTTCAACCCAAGAAACTCATCAGCCCTCCTTTGGGGCCACACCTCAAATACTGTGTCCAGTTTTGGGCACCTCAATAGAGGAAGGACATTGAGGTGCTGGGGTGTGTCCAAAGAAGGGTGACCAAGCTGGTGAAGGGCCTTGAGAACAAGGAGCAGCTGAGGGAACTGGGGCTGTTTAGTCTGAAGAAAAGGAGCCTGAGGGGAGACCTCATTGCCCTCTGCAACTGCCTGAGAGGAAGTTGTAAAGAGGCAGGTGCTGGTCTCTTCTCACAAGTAACTGGTGATAGAACAAGAAGAAATGGCCTCAAGCTGCATCAGGGGAGGTTCAGACCAGGCATGAGGAAGAGCTTCTTCACTGGAAGGGTTCTCAGGCATTGGACCAGGCTGCCCAGGGAGGTGGTTGAGTCACCATCCCTGGCTGTGTTTGAAAGTCAAATAGACGTGGCACTTGGGGACATGGCTCAGTGCTGGAGTTGGGAGAGCAGGGTGAGTGGTTGGACTGGATGACCTTGAAGGTCATTCCCAACCTAAGAGATTCTATGAACAAGACCTTCAGAGAAATACCTTCAATAAAAAGCCAACACGTGCTCCAATTAATCCTGTTAAGCAATAAGCAGCATAGCATTGTTTATTGTATAGAGATGGAGCAACTTCTCATCAAACAGTTGTTTCAGCTAACAAATATAGAGACAAGGAAAGCACTGAACATCCTCCAGCAACTAGTCAAAGTCATTATTTTTTTTGGTGAATGATGTCAAGAGGAATGGAAAGCCAAGAACATTTCTCAAGCACACACTTATTTTGAGTGAAAAGTAGGAAGTTTACCCGAGTTACCAGAAACATTATCTCAATACTTGAGGTTGTTAAATTGCTACAGCCCCTCCTTTCACTGTTCATTCATTGTAAGCCACAGCAAATCTTTAAGTCAAGCAGATTTGGTTGATTAAAAACTCATGGTCTCTTTAAGGTGAATTATCATTATTTATACTGATCACATGGATCAAGTGGAAAGGAGAAAAACAGTCTCTTGGTAAAAACAGGCCATGAAGACAAGCTTTGATGTCTAGAGATTGCTCATCTTGGTTGCACAATTTCATCCCAGCACGTTTTGTTCAAGGCTTTTATCAGATTGTCCCTCTCTATGCTAGTCTGAGCATGCCCCAAAAAGCAGCCATCACAGACACACATCTCAAGAGTTGCCCAAATTTGTCCATCAAAATATCAGTATGATCAAGATGGTAGAAGAGATGTATTCAGGCCACAGAGGCAGACAATCTGTGAGGGACAGAGTACATGAAGGCACATCCTGGCATTCATAACATTCTTTCAAAACGTAACACTCCAGAACCTCTCTCTGAATCACCTGTTCAGAGCACATTTTAAATCTGAAATTCAGAAGTGAATTCTGAGGTCCAAGTTAGAAAACTTGAACTATACCCTTTGATGTCATCTTTGCCCCAACAGAATCTACAGCCTCAAAGAAACAAGCATCACGATGCTCTTGCTTGTAACCAAGAGAGTTTTCATCTTGTTTCAATTGAGACCTTTGAAAAAATGTGGACAAGTTGAGGCTTTTCAGAAATAAGGCTTAACCACAAAACTAATTAGACATAAACACTGAGGAAAAAGGTGCTGTTCAGATTTACTGTAATTCTCTTTTGAAACAAAAGCTCAGATTCATACCAGCTCTGCTAGCAAGATTATTATTACTGAACAGGTTTGGGGAATGAAGGAATTGAGAAAAAAGCTGGAAAAATCACAACCAAATTGGTCTCCTTTGAGACCTCAACTGGGTCTTTCTGAGGAAAAATATCCAAGGGTTTTTATGAATGATCTGAAAGTTACTCATAAAGCTGTCACTCCATAACCAGCCCCCTGCTCGGAAAAAGGACTAGAGATAATAAGTGTATGAGGTTGTAGATGGCAAGAAATTGGGGAAGATCCCACTTTTGAAGGTCCTTGACACCAGCAGTTCGCTTGAGAAAGTTAAGAAGTGATGACCTTCTCAGGGAAACCATGCAAAAGGCCAATGGAAATGAAGGAATGAAGATATTGCATATTATGAATTTTGGTGCCAGGTCAAAGTGCATTAACTGCTTCTAACATTTGCTGAGTCACTCCTCATGTTCTGCAACCAAAATGTGTGACCAGAAGAGTCATGAGGACAGAACTCCCCCAGGCCTGACCTGAACCTGCAAGTCAGCATGTCTGATTAGAGAACAAAAATCCCTCAGCCAAGTAAAACTAGGGGAGAAAAATAGGAGAACTGAAAAAGCAAGAGTGAGTTGTCACCTAGAGGGAAACCACTGCCTACCTTCTCTGCTATGCCATTTTCTGTAGTATAGATGGCCATCAGCTCTGTGTCCTCTGTATCCTGATCACCGCTGGGTGTTGCTCCACCATTTATCACCACCTTACACATAAAACACAAAAAAGAAACACCAGATCTTCAAATAAACATTTTCTTTACAATCACACCCCATTTTATTCAGTCTTATCCCTTGGCACTTGACATCTGCTTTTGACATCTTGTCAGAAAATGTTACAAGCACAGCAAACAATCATTTCTGTAACAGCAGCTTTAGGGATGTAGAGAATCATGGAATGGTTTGGGTTGGAAGGGACCTTAGAGATCATCTAGATCCAACCCCTCTGCACTGGCAGGGACACCTCCCACCAGAGCAGGTTGCTCCAAGCCCCATGAAAAAATACCAAAACTTGAGAGATGTCACACACAGCTCCTCAAAGCCTGGACAGTGTCAGCTCAGGGTGGGGGAACCCAGCAGCAGACTGGAAGAGCTCTTGAGAGGCAGCCAGGTACAACAGAATGAACAGCTGAAAATCTCAGTAAGGGGAAGACAAGCAAAAATCTCCTTGCTGTCACCTGCTACTCTTAGTCAAGCTGCACCAGGCTCTAGTATGCCCTGAAGTGGGACAGTTAATTGCTCTAAGGAACTGCCTGGGGAATCAAGTCTTGTGAGCAGCTCTGCTTTGGAGCACACACATGAAATCACTACAGATGACACCACTGATTGCGTTTAGATCTAAACAATAACAAGTAGCAAAAGAGGATTGACTAACCACTTGTGGAAAGGAAGGGTTTGTACATCATGGTTAGAACAGAGCATTATTCACTGACTGACATGGAGCTTGACCAGCTGAAGGTGCTACTTACAGGTAGGGTGAAAAAGGTGGGATGTTTAGATTCATCCTCATATTTGCCTTCTGTTGAGCCTCCTGCCTCCACTGATTTGGCAGTGGTGTTCTTACCAATCCCCATGGTTTCCAGAATGTCAAGGACTTGCATGTAGCACCCACAGGGATGCTGCTTCGATGACAGGCCAGGTCCTCAGGACAATCCCTCTTTAAACAGCAGCACCTCCAGGAATCTGAAAAGTGCTCAGTGATCCAGCTGGGACATTAGGGATCCTTCTTTAAGTATCATTAGCATCAATAGCACCTAGAATTGAAGAGAAAGGTAGTAAAAATATAATTTAAGATACATGCACAAACACACTCTCCACAGCCTTGGTTCCCCTTTCACACTCACGACTCACCAACTCTTACAATTCCTTTCTCATTTGATAATTATCAAATCATAGAACGGTTTGAGTTGGAAGCGACTTAAACAATCATCAGGTTCCAATCCCCCTGCTATGAGTAGGGACACCTGCCACCAGCCCAGCCTGCACAAACCTCATCCAACCTACCCCTGAACACCTCCAGGGAGGGAGCATCAACAACCTCCCTAGGCAATGTGTTCCAGCACCTGAATCTCTAACTTGTCTAACCTGAATCTCCCTCTTCCAGTTTTAATCTATTCCCCCTCATCCCATCCCTCCCTGCCCTTGTCCCAAGTCCCTCCCCAGCTTTCCTGGAGCCCCTTCAGGCACTGAAAGCTGCTCTAAGGTCTCTCTGGAGCCTTCTCTTCTCCAGGCTGAACACCCCAACTCTCCCAGCCTGTCTCCACAGCAGAGCTGCTCCAGCCCTTGGATCATCTCCGTGGCCTCCTCTGGACTCTCTCCAACAGCTCCATGTCCTTCTTATGTTGGGGTCTATAGAACTGGACAAAGTTCCCCAGGTAGGGTCTCACCAGAGCAGAGTAGAGGGGCAGAATCTCCTCACTCGACCTGCTGGCTACGATAGCAGCTGAAAAATGGCCTTTTCAAAATCACACCAAGTGAAATTTTCTACAAGACCAGGAACACAGTCAAGCAGCAAGACCCACAGAACACACTGGTGTTACTTCAAAAGCAAGTTCATGCCATTTTCAGTGTAATTGCTAGAGGTAGAAACACAGCTCATGGACATTCCACAAACAAGTTACATATCTATTAGAAAGGAAAAAAAGGCAAGTTGGGTTTTTTCCTTCAAGTTTCCTTACGAAAATGCTGCTCAGGAAAATGCCACCAGCTTGAATGTCTAACTGTAATTGCAGTAACACTGAAACTTGACCCTTCTGCTATGGGCAATTTAGGACTGCTTGAAAAATTATAGAATACTAATATTTTAGTTATTTTAATAGTTGTTAATTGCCTATTTGCTAGAAAATTCTGGCTAAAGAGATATTAAACTTTCAAAGCAATGTAATTTTTTAAGAGAAAATATGCATCCGTAAGAAATAGTATTTGGGCACTGAGATTCCCGTGAAGCTCTCCTAATTAAATCAAAGTGGAATGGGAAGTAGCACCTTCAATTAAGGGTTTAATTAAGACTTGTTTTTTGAAGTAAATATTAAGATAGCATAACTGATTCTATTTCACTTGAACTTAAGACTAAAGGAGAAGACCAGTTTGAGTACTCATTGTCACACCGTGGTAGAAAAAATAGCATCCCCATTTTTACAACCACCACTTTCTGAAGGAGCTTCTTCAGCTCTGAGAATCAGTTTGTCTGCTCTCAAGTTTGTGCTCAAATCGATGGTGATTCCTCCCCAGATCTTTACAGGAATGATTATCTCAAAGCAGGTCTGAGAGGTGACATGATTGGGTTAGAGAGGAGGAAGAGACAGACACTAGGGAAAGGTTCAGGGGGCAGTGGGAGTGTTTGGGTGGTTCTGAGGGATTTTTTTTTTTGAGGGGTTTTGTTTGTTTTTCCTGTAGCAGTCCAAGGAAATTTTTCAAGCACACACACCAAAACAAAGAGAAAAGAATCTGCCCTTTTCTGTCAATGTAGACATATTTTATTCTCCAGGAAAATCAGTAATGGAGACAGGAGTTTACTCTGGCATCTTTATCATGTCAGCTTGGAAAGCATAAGGGAAAGGGTAGAATTACACCTCCCTAACAAATGCAGTCCTGGCAATAACACACCAGGGCAAGAGTCAGAGCAGCAGGAAACCTGCAGCTCAGGAGATCTGGTTTAAGGTGTTCTGGCACGTTAAGCTTCTTAGTTAGCATTAACTAGCATCTCCATTGATGAAAAGACCATATAATCCCACTTTATTTGGCACTGCAAAACAGTAAGACTGCTGGCTTCTCAAATGTGATGTGACCCTTCCTCAGGAGCAGTTCTTGAGAATTCCATCAGGAGAGCAGGCAAACAAGCTGTATGTGGATGAGGGCCCCCAGAGGATGATGATTCCAAATTGACAGGATTCCAAATTGACAGGAAAACCAGCTACATTTCCTAAGAAGGACTGCGTGTGCGGTACACACACATCTGTGCACACTAACACTACACCTGAGTGTGCTGGGGTGGCCCAAGGAAAACTAACAGAAGGAATTTCCCAACTCTTCTTGCTTCCACTCAGCAATTAAACTTGCCCTTAATGGCACAGATGATAACCAAAGATTTTCAGAATACTTTTACTCTACAATCAGAAGTGTCAAACTGATGCAGAAATCTTTAGGTAGCAGATCAGGTTACCTGAAAGATACCACTTCTTTATCAGTCCTCTTATCCCACCAACTGAGCAGAGCTTAACAAGGTGACTCAGACATTTTATAGCTGCCTGTAACAAATCCAACTGATCAGAAGCTGAAAAGTCATGTAAAAAAGAGGTAAAAGTCATTCAACATCAGGTAGGCGCATGTAGCAGAAAGAATTATCTGCCACCTTGGATCAAACGGGAAGGCTTGGTGAATTTTCCACCAAGATACTGATTAACATTCATCTCTCTATACCAAATGATCTGCAGTGTTCATACATGATTAAACCAGGAAGGCCAAAGCTGACATGGGATCATAATGCTTTAGTTAAGATTAGGATCTAGACAAACAGTCTCCTGCAGGGGATAGTCCAGGTGCAAGTTCACAAGACAAAAACCCTCTGAGCTGGGAAAAGGCCACTTGGCATCTTCAACACTCTTCCTTTCCTTCAACACAAATACCCTTTTCCAGATGTGGCACCATTGGGACAGGACACAAAGCTACAGGAGTGTCTGCTTTGACACACATGGTAGTTCTTAAACTTTGCATTTTCATGACCACTAATGCCACATTTTCTATTTTACCACAGGAGCTCCTATTTTGTTTAAACAAGTTACAATGGATTTCCATGTTCACTTAAAAAAGAGATAGAAACCATCAGTGATGGAGATGTACAATGTCAGACTGGAAGTGAAAGTTCACTGAAGTGTACAACAAAGGTTTTCCCCCAGAGAAATCTACCTAAATACCAAGACAGGCTACAGGAAAAGCTTCTTATTTCACAAGGTACCAAACTACATGCAAGTCTGTCTAAAAAATTACTTACTAACTAAGAGTTTTTTGTTGTCAGGCAGGACAGAGGATACAGACAGACATAAAGAGCTTACGGAAAGTGAAAACAGACCAGGAACTCCATTAAGAAGCAGTCACTGTATGCATTGTTTTATTTAAAAGTAGCATCCTGTGATCGTTTTTGGCTGAACCACATGAAAAATGTTCCCTACTTTTTCATATTAGTCTGAGAATACCCAGTAACAACTAAAAAAAGACAAATTAAAAAAAAACCCAACAGCTCAGATCTACTGTGATGGCATTGATCTCCACAGTGCTGTGTTTGAGGGCCTTTGACATCTGAATCCAGAGCTTGGCAAAACAAACACCGGAGAAAACAAAACCACTCTGACCTCCAGACTGCAACAGGCTTGGGGCAACAGGCTTTTGAGGCTCTTCTGCTTGGTTTTGTTTCGGGTTTTTTAATAACATCCATTAGAAGAGTCAATGATTTGTCAGTGGTGTCAGACCGGCAGCATCAGAACTGGGCTGTGCTCAGGATATATCAATACTACAAAGCTCCACATTTGCAATAAGCAGATCTAGATCTTGACCCTTTGGAAAAAGCTTTGTCTGGACCTCAGGGTCCCCCCTGTGACTGTCACAGTGACTTTCAACTTGAAAATTACCGGTTTTCCTAAGTGCAAGAATAATGCAGGTTTTTTTCCACCCCAGAAACTTGAAGAGGGAAGTAGCTCCCTTTATCTCCTTATTTGCCAAACTCAAAACAAAAACCTTCTAAAACCAGGAGAGGTCTTTCCAAATTCCAACTGGATCTCAAAATTTCTATCAACTGAGCCAGGCCCAGTACCCAGAGATATTAGCCAAAATACTTCAGACTTTCTCTGTTGATTTGTGCAGCTGCTTTGAGAGGACACACACAGCTGACCCAGCAAATAAACCCCAGCAATGGGCACAAAGATTGAAAACAACTCCAGCAGCCTGATTTAGTGTTTTTCATGATGGGGCTGCAGCTCTTCAGAAGTGGTACCAGGCCTCCTAAAACCCCAGCCACAACCAGAAGCTGCTGGACAATCACAAATGTTTTACTGCTCTATAAAGTGGCAGAGCTGTTTTCAAAGACAAATGGGAATTGGCCTACCTGATAGTTGTGGTTTGCTCTATTGCTAGTTCTGCTGGAGGGGAGGTTTAGGACACAAGTAAATCAGCTGGTCAAAGAGTTAAAAAAGGAGAATTCTAGCTAGACTGGAAGTGTATCCCCTTCCATCTCTTAGCACAACTTAAGTGTCAGACAGAATTAACTAGCTAATCAGTACTTGTGGTCCTCTTCACCATGTAAAATCAGGAACTGATGTACATTTAGTGACCCTACACTGCTGTGCAAGGGAAATATTCTTTAGGGAAGCAAACCAGGCGTGGTTATGAAGCAAGCTGGTGCGGAAACAGCACATTCCTCAGAGTGCACTGACGGAAAGGCTCCCAGGAGCACTGCTGTACATGGAGCACCTGGGAAGCACATGTCACACCGCCCCGAGGAAGGAGCAACGCGGCATTCAGCCCAGCACCTTTCTGGCTTTTACAGATGGCTGAAGAGCCAAGAAAGCTCAGGCTGTTACACACACTAAGAAGATTAGCATCAAATTAAGGTAACAGCTTAATTACAAACTTCAATTTATTATTTGTAATTAGCTGTCAGACTCACATGAATAACAACAACCTTCCCCTGCAAGCAGAGCTCACGCTCAGGCAGCAGTTGTCCAACCTCACAATGAGCAGGGTTAGCTTCACCTACATTT